TTTTTGTTTTTGAAGTGATTTTTTTTTGGGTAATTGTTATTGATTAAAAAATTAAAAAAAAGGGGAAAAAAAAAGTAGAAACGGAAACACAAAAGGTAAATGACAAATTTTTTATAAGTGATTTTTTTTTTTTGCATGTTTGTTTGAAAAATTATTATTTTGATATAAAATTGAAAAGTCCCCAAAATTAAAGTATGTGGTAACCATATTTATATGGAAGTTTGTGGGGTGCCTAACACCTTCCCCACACTTAACCGACCCTCCCAACTTAGTTAATTTTTACGTAGACTTTGGTGATCTATCCCACCTCATTTGGATAGATGGCGACTCCATCCATTTTGGCACGTCAACAATTTGGTGACTCCACTGGGGACCCTGAGGGGTCAAGCCATTTATACTTTAATTTTTGGGGTTTTTCAATTACTAACTTTTGTTTTGTAGGTGGCATGGAGTATTTTGTAAGTTTTTTTATTTTTGTTATTTTATTTAATATTTTGTTATTTTCATATGTTCACTTTGTGTATACTCCCTCACACACCTTACTTGCATCTCATTTTTGTCCTTGACGAGGTGAACCCGACCTTTAGATAGATGGATAACTCATGGAGCAATGAAAAGCGCAATGCTTTCTTTGTGAAGTGAGATTTATCCCTTTTAGGTTTATTTTGTGGGTTAATATGGTCTGATAGCCATAATGTTGTTGCTGTATTAGGTCATGAAATGTCTCTTGTTAACTCTATAGAAGTTGGCAATTGTTGACTTTATGGAAGTCAATAATTGTTGACTTATAGAAGTTAGTAGTTGAAAAAAACCTAATCGTATAGGATCCACTAGGAAACCGCACGTAATGGACTTAGACAAAACTTAACCCTAAGACGGCCAGCCTAGTAAATCACTTTCAAAGTTTAAGAACCTTATACATAGGACACGTGAGAAGTATTTTATTTTTAAACAATGATTTTGTGTTTCTTAGGTAAGGAATTCAACCAAGAGGTATGACATTCATTAACTCTCCTTTTTCTTTTTTAATAAATAGGTAATTCATTATTTTACACATGAATTCTTTGAAAAAAAAAATCAACAAGAGGAAAAGGGTGAATTTAGAGTTACAATGTCCGCTGTTATCCAAGAGGAACAAGTCACACAAGGATGTATTCTCTATGCAAACCAAAAGACCTTGTGTAAAAGACTTGGTTACTACTAGAAATAGTTTAAATAATCTTGACAAAGTGAGGTTTGACAAGAAAGTTGGTAGAATAGTTGATGTCTTACAAGTGGAGTTGGACTAGGAAATCATTAGGGCAATACTAAGATTTTATGTCCTGCATCTTCGTTGCTTTGTTTTTTTTTTTTTTTTTTTTT